GCTTACACAAAGACGGGAAATAAAAAGAGACGCCAAATAATTGTCAGTTGATTTCAACACGTCTTCGCTTTTTCGCGCCATGTTTATTCTTTGTACAATTTTAAATTATTTTTTAAGAAATCACACATTCTATATTTTTTAAAATATCATTTTCTTTCAAGCAGATTTGATAAAACAAAAGCGACCAAAATTAACAAGCAAAAAAAAAAAAAAAAAAAAGAAAAAAGAAAAAAATAGAACGCCAACTTTTTGAAATGTGTTAATGGATTTAAGAATGCATTATACGAGGAAACGTTATCAATTGTTGTAAATTCTCGGATAGATTTTTAATGACGCAAAAATTTCATTAAGTCTCCAAATGTTATATATATATATAATTACTTATATATAATTAATACTGTGATTACAATTTCTATTTGATTTGTGAATTTAATCATCACTAAATAATTCAAAAATGCCCAGGAAATTCATTATCTCTTGCTTCCAAACTATAATGGACGTGTCTAGGTTCTTCTTCTGCGTATTATTATTATTAAAATGATCATATATATATATATATATATATATATATATATATATATACACACATGTTTATTTGTAAGTTTGTATGTTATGCTATATAGCTATAAACAGTTAAATGCGTTAAAATACATAAGCACTGCCATATTTTATAATCAGTAAATTGAAAACTAAAGGTTCTGAAATTTTTTTTACCGTTAATGGGTATATGGTAAAATTTTTTTTTTTTTTTGGGGGATGACGTTTTTTTAAAATATATATATATATATATATATATATATATATATGTGTGTGTGTGTGTGTGTGTGTGTGTATATATATATATATATATATATATATATGTGTGTGTGTGTGTGTGTGTGTGTGTATATATATATATATATATATGTGAGTGATAGAAATTTGGAGGATTTGAGATAATTATAATTAATTAATTCATCGAGTCTAGAAAACCTCAACAGAATGCAGAAAGCACTGGACGGCCGTTTCGTCCTATATTTGGGACATCATCAGCAGTGTGCATCCACTACCAAGAATTGTCCAGTTGGTATGACGTTTGCCTGATAACGTAACTGTCCGGGTTTCAATTCTCGGTAGTGGATGCGGATTGCTGATGAGTCCCAAATATAGGACGAAACGGCCGCTTTCTGTATTCTGTTGAGTTTTCTTCCAGACTCAATGAATTACTTATATATATATATATATATATATATATATATATATATATATATGTATGTATGTGTGTGTGTGTATCTGACGATCGCAAAAGCCGTGAAACCCATGGTCACAAATTTACATCAATCCAACTATATATATATATATATATATACACTCCTGAAAAATTTATTTCGGTTGAGCTCTCTGTGGAGGAAGTGTGAGTTTGTAAACAGTGACCAACGGCTTAGTGGTAGAATCCCCGCCTGGTGCCACTTCAGCCGCGTTTCGATCCTAACCGAACGTCTAGTCACACTGATGAGCTGTGATACAGCGAGACAGTCTGTCTGTGGATGACTATATATATATGTGTGTGTGGCTTTATTGGTATTGTGCTCATGTGTGCATTCGTAGTTTGTTAATTTGCTTAATATTTATTTAATTTTACTTATTTATTGTCTATATTTCTGAGGTGAGGTTTTATGTACATTATTTACATTATTCGGACTATTGTCCTCATCTTCGTCGCCATATTTATTACAACGTTTCGGCCATTTTTTATATGTGGACACATGGCACAGTGGACAAAGGCGTTAGTTAGATCCAGTGACAGGACCCAAAGAGTGTGAGTTCAATACCTGGTTAAGGCAGTGGAGAACTTTCAGAGGGAAATTAACAGGCGATAACTGATAACTGACATCCATTAAACATGTCACGTGGAACTGGATCGGTCTACCCCGCTGAGCGAAATAAAGGGTTTAGTTCGACATTCCAACCACCTGAAGAAGGCCGGAGCATACAACGACCGAAACGTTGTAATAAAGATGAGGACAATAGTCCGAATAATGTAAATATTGTTATTGATTTACATTATTTATTTATATAAATTTATTTGCTTATTTATTTAATTTTTCTATTTTTTATTTTTAACTTTATTTATTTTACTGTTCATTTATAGTTTTCGATTTTACGCAATGGATTAAACAACGCAACACACATGGCCTGAAGATTGCCTTTACGTACGAAACCGACTGGCGCCGCTGGCTTTTCAACTCGATGTACGCCCGAGTATGGGTAAATCGAAGTGCAGACTCGACACTCTTGCATTGCGTGAAATCCAGTTTAGAATGAATTAATCTCTCATTGTAGAGAAAAGAAAAAGAGAACCCCTAGGAGGAAATCCTTCACAAATCTGGCTTGGAGCCCCAAAGAGTGCTGGGTGGCATAAACCAACACCTGCCGGTAACTCCTGAAGCCGCGACGCTAGCAAACTAACTGCATTGATTTGTCCTTTTCTTTGGACTCTGTTGCCAACGCATTGATAGGGAGTTTGACGTATGGGCAACCACAGTCTCCACAGCTCTTGCTCAAGTCCATGGCGCTCTGCGCTAAACCATCGTCATATGCAGATGCTATATATATATATATATATATATATATATATATATAAGATAGCGACATATATTTTTATATATCAAGAACAATATTAGGGTCAAGTCCTTCAAACAAATACACGCACCTACCCTCAATGTATATATAGATAAATGCAATTTGCTATATTTATCGAGGAAAAGTCGTTCGTCTTTATCTCTGCTTTCCCCTCTCTTTGCCTCTCTCTCTCTCTCTCTCTCTCTCTCTATATATATATATATATATATATATATATATATATATGTGTGTGTATATATATATCATAAAGAAACAATTTATACAAAGAATTAAATAGTAATGTTAATGTGATTAATGACGAAATCACTTCGCTAACAGGACTTAATGAGACATTAACTTACGATGAATTCCTTGAATAATAAGATCCTTATATTCGAGTTGTTGTCAGATGGAAGAGACATTCCAATCGAATTAACATTGCTATTTAATTCTTTTGTATAAATTGTTTCGTTATGATATAAAATATGAGATACACTCTTTATATATATATATATATATATGTGTGTGTGTGTGTGTGTGTTTGTTTGTGTGTGTGTGTGTGTATGTACACACACAAATATATATATATATATATATATATATATATATATATATATATATATATATATATATATATATATATATATATATATATATGTTTTAATTAAAAAAAAAGAACAGTAAGATATATAATCCGGTATTCTTATTGATATTTTTTATTTTTCAAAACAGTGCTCAAGGTAAATTTACAGAGCATTAATATTATGAATTAACTGATTTAAAAATATGGTTCTTTCGCTACAAAAGGATTACCATGTTTCAAAATCTGAAGCTAAAAACTTCAAATTTAATTATATAATTAAATTTGAGGTTTTAGCTTCGGTTTTTGAAACCTGGTAATTCGTGTGTAGCGAAAGAAACCATATATTTAAAGTTAATTTATATATATATATATATATATATATATATATATATATTTCAGATAGATTATATCCGTAAAAAGACAGTATGAATAAAAACAGAAAGAAAACTTATGTTAGCCGACGCTTTTCGTCGTTTGAGAGCATTTGTCTCAATAAAGTCCCTCAGAGGACTATACGCGTCGGCTGGGGTAAGTTTTCCTTATCAAAAATATACTCTTAAGGTGTGCTATATCTATGGGATAAAAGTCCTCATTATCAGAGAGAGAGCCTGTGTAAATATATAAGTGAACATTGAATGTCAACACTTCGAGGCGACAGGCATGAAACATGAAACAGCCTGTCGTCTCTAAGTGTTGACTTCAATGTTCACTTATATATATATATATATATTGTAGCTAATAACTGATACAATGATACTGTCATAAGGAAAACTTAGACATCCCTTGTCCAATTGAAGTAGAATATTCTGTAACCATGGAAACGTGATTTTAGCTGTGTCTTTAAAACCCAGTAATTTTTTAAAAGTTACTCCAAAATTCGCTTGAGGATGAAATGGAACTAATGCTTTTAATTTAATTGCAAAATTAAATTCGGGGCTTTTAGCTTCTATTTTTGAAACATGGTTAGAACTGTGTAGCGGAAAAAAACATATTTTAAATCAATTAATTTAATATATATATATATATATATATATATATATATATATATATATATATATATCAATAGAAACGTTTATATGCTCGTTGTATTGGCAACTTTGACGGTTGCTAGAAAGACACACTATTGTAAAATAGGGTAGGAAAGTTAATGTTTGATGTTTAATAACTATATTTTCAATTAATCGGCCACGTATTAATTGTAATAGATAGATAGATAGATAGATAGATAGATAGATAGATAGATAGATAGATATGAACAGACGGACTTTGCGGATAGATAGATAGATAGATAGATAGATAGATAGATAGATAGATTTTTTCATATTATCTTAGTTTATGTCACGATGGCGCCAGTAATTACAGGGTGTGGCAGAAATATCTTCCACATATACCTCCCAGAAATATCTCCCACATTATGGTAAGACATTAGTGGCAACAGTATCGTCATTTGGCTCATGACTTACACTTATATGTGAGGTATATCTGGGAGGTATATATTGGGGTGAGGGTATTTCTACCGTACCTTGTACAACTAGCCAAGTGAAAAAAAAAGGATTCAAGTACCCTATAATCAATCAGAATACAATTTTAAAAAATAATTTAATAATGGTTTGTTTATTTTTGTTTTTCCTGTTTCGTTTTTAAACTGATAAAAACCACCCGCGAAAATAAAATAAATTAAAATAAAATAAATTAAAAGAAATAAAATATAATAAAATAAAATTTTGGCTTCTTTGTTTAATCAAACCCGAATAAAAGAAAATATTTTTTTTTGTTCTTTTTTTGTTTTTTGTTTTTTTTTGTTTTGTTGTTTTGTCTACATGGAAGACTCGTCGCCACTTGTGTCGTCATAATAAGTAGAAGCCGGCGATGGCTCCTGAGACATTAAAACTGAACAGTCTTCTTCCATCTTTGACATATCAGACCCGGACTGATTGACGTGCAAAACTGTCTTCGTCTTATCCAATCCAATGTGTAGCATTTGCTTACCGTTATCGCTGTGTTCAAGGTGATGATGATGATGGTGGTGGTGGTGATGGTGGTGATGCTGGAGATGCGAATGAGAATAATAAGGAAGCACGGTTTGGTGTTGTGACTCCCGGATACCGTGGGATCGGCCTACTGGTAACAATGGTGGTACAGAGTTGGATATGCTAGCGCCATTGGTGTCGGTCGCTGTTGCTGTCAATAATGAAGAAGGAGAAGAAGAATTCGGCGATGCTGCTGAGTGTCTTGTCTCTACGTTTTCAATCATTTCTTCGTCTTCTTCGTCGTCCAATTCAGGATCCACTGCTTTTATTCCATTCCCCATCTCTTTCTTATTGTTGCTGCTGTTGTTATTACGATTCTCCTCCCCGATCGACTGATCACTGTCGGGCGACTGTGATTTTTGGTAATCGATCACTTTGCTCAGCAGGTTGATATACCGTATTGCTAACCTGAGGATTTCGTTCTTGCTTAACTTTTTGTCGGGTGGGTGAGTCGGCACAAGACGCCGCAGTTCGGCGAAAGCTCCGTTAACGTTTTGCTGTCTCCATCTCTCGCGGCTGTTCGTGAACATACGCCGAGCAAGCTTCCTGATTGGCAACTGGCTAATTTCGTCACTAAAACGTCGGCGGAGAGAAGCCGGTGCCGCCTTGTTGCGCAGGTCGAGGGGATTTTCCGCGCTGTAACTAGCCGAGCGTGTTCCCAACTCCCGCGATGCAATCAAAGGGTATGCGCCACTCTCCAAGCAGATAAACCCGGGACTTGGGTTAGCACCAACGGAAGAAGGTGCAACGCCGCCAGACGACGACGTGGACAAAGTTGAGGAGGGGGATATGGCTGACGGAGAAGACAGTGACGAAGACGAGGAAGATAGTGATGTAGAGGTTTTGGGAATGGAAGACGAGGATGATGCGAATGAAGCCGACATGTCTTTTTTGATATTCACGTTGAGGGTGAGTCGCTTCGGATTTTTGGGATTGTCGGTTGGGTTTCGAATGCTAGGGAAATTCTCTGTAGTGTCCTTGGAATTATTTTTTGAAAATCCTTCTAAAAGTATTTTGTTATTGTTGTTATTGTGGTTAATATTGATGCTGATGTTATTAGCATTATTATTATTATTACTACTGTTATTAATATTGTTGTGGTTTATAATATTGTTGGATAAATTATTTTCTGGGTTCGCGGTTACCATAGTGACACTTTTGTTGTTTTTATTGCTGCTCAGTTCGGACTCTGCTCGACGAATCTTCGTTTTTTCTCGGTCATGTTCGGGTGATTCCGGAGAAAAAACATTGTCGTTCATCTCGCAATCCTCGGTAGTTTTGGGAACAGTATCCTCGCTACTGTCTAAATCGTCTGACGTTGTGGACGAGTGCAAACTGTCGACAATCATTTCACTTTCTGACGAAGTTACAGAACAACCCTTAATTGAAAAATCAGCGTCTATTTCAGACCTCATGTGCCGCCCCAAATGTATTTGATTTATGCTTTTAATCTCAACACACGCCATCTTTCTTTTATTTGATATATATATATATATTTATATCTAAATAGATATATGTAGATATATATTTATTTATTTATTTCAATTCTTTGAAATTTTATATTTGTTGCTTACAGTTTCGTTTGTTCGTATATCTTTCTCTCTTTATACAATCTTTCTTTTTTTTAAAATTCTTTTTGATATCCTCTTTTATTTGTATCGTTAAGTGTTTAGTTTTTGCAGTCTGTGTTTCGTTTCGTTTTTAAAATTTCACCTTTTTCAGTAATATTATCAGACACTTATCTCTGTGGCAAGACAAGAACCAGTGATTTTGCTTTTCTTTTCGTTTATCTCCCTTTTTAGCCTATTTTTTTTTCGTGAAGAAAAGCGGTTGCAGTTAAAAGATGGGAAAAAGGTATGTTGTATGATAACTTTGAACACAGAAATCAAATGAGAATACCCTTAGAGTCGGGGAAAAAAATTGTTCTTGCTTTCGAGAAGCCAGAAATCCAACCGGGATGTTTGTGATTTAATTTATTTTAATTAATTTATTTTTTAGTTGTATTCGTTTTTCGAGGTCGATGTGTCGAGAGAAATTGGAATTATCACACCGTTTTCTTCACAGTAAAACCTGAAAAAGACAAGAAAGAAAGTGTGAGTTTGAATTTAATGCTAAGAGAATTTGGGACGAAAAGTCTTCTACAAATGTAATTTAATCAGAATGTTTTTGGTTAATTTGCAATTTAGCACCCATTGTACATGCTTCAGTCGAATCTGACATTAGAAATTCAATAAAATCCACCGTTTTGGAGTTATCGACAGTAAAAGTTCGGATTCATTCGCGTCGTTGGTGGCAGCCATTACTGGCATTGTTTGCATACATTCGCTGCGGAAAGCTAAGCGCGGAAAAATGTAGTTAACGGCCTTCTTGTTTACTGATCTTACTTATCTCAGTTACTGCGCAAGAGAACTATATTGCGTGCGCAATAATCAGGAGAAGTTAATATTCTATTCATAGCTATTCATACCAAGGCAGCCATTACTGGCGTTGTTTGTATACATTCGCTGCGGAACAGCTTTGATTGGAATATTCAATTGTTTTGATTTTTGCGAACACAATATAGTCCTCTTGCGTAGTAACTGAGACAAGTTGAGACGAGTAAGATCAGTAAAAAGAAGGCCGTTAACTACATTCTTCCGCGCTTAGCAAACAACGCCAGTAATGGCTGCCACCAAAATACGCGAATAAATCCGAACTTTTACTGTCGATAACTCCAAAACGGTAGATTTTATCAAATTGTTCTGAAGATAGTAATTTGACAACAAATCGAGTACAAAATAACAAGTCAATAGTATTCGATTTAAATAAAGCCACTTTTATTTTTGGTAACAAAACCAAAACTACATGCAAAGATATTTATGCAAATAGGATAATTGATTTAAAGGAGGTGCTGAAAAGAAAACATCAAATTATGTTTATTAATCCTTCCAAGGTATAAAGAAATGTTTATGCAAATGATTTAGAGGAGCAGTAACCTTTGTTGTGCAGTACATCTCTTCATTGCTTCATCATCGGACAAGATGCATTATTTTCCTCAGTTCACACTAAATGATGAAGCGATGTACGCGTAAGAATTTTGTGTGGGATTGTACAATAATAATAACATATTTGTAACGTCTAATATGGCTTATTTTCTCTAATATTGTCTAATATAAGTGTAAAGGTGGCTACTGGGGTGTTATTTCCTATCTAAAGAGCTCTTATAATGTCAAAAACCGTATTTTGAAGTTCGTAAACAGGTTTTCTATGATCTAACTACGAAAATATTCGATGTATAAATAATGAATCCTACTTCGCTAAAATTCACTTATCGCGGTAGAGTCTGGAATTGATTAACCACGATAAACGTGGGACGACTGTATTTAGGGTGTTCGAAAAGTAATGACGTTTTACTAAAAAGCATATGAAAACAAACGAAAATATTATTAGGATGTTCGGAAAGTAATGACGTTTTACTAAAAAGGGTATGAAATTAATTTATTGGGGTATTGGGAAAATAATGTTTTACTAAAAAGCTTATGAAAACAAATGAAAATATTATTAGGATGTTAGGAAGGTAATCACATTTTGCTAGAGAGGATAGCAAAACAAATTTTAATATTATTATCGCGTTCGAAAAGTAATGTCGTTTTACTAAAATGATATGAAAATATATTTAAATATCGTTACGGAGTTCCGAATGTAATTAAAACAAATAATATATTATTAAGGTATCTACAACCCTTCTAGGCTTATAGGACACACACACTTAATTGTATTACCATTTACAATCAAATTTATCCTCATTAAAAAAACGTATCAACTTCGCTAAATACGACTTATAAAGATGTTATATCTGCGTCCTCGACAGCAAATACGTCTATGTTCGTTGTTAATGCGCGTGCTAATGCAGTCCACAGAATATGCACACTGATTTGCACGTAAAATATGTCCATTGTTATCAATGCTACTTTCGATTCGGCTTTTTAAATTTTGTTCCCATTGGCCTACCGTAGTTCAACGCTTGGTGATTTGTTAAAATGGCGTCCGAAACTTCCCGTCAGATGTGAGAAGATAAATAATCCCGTCATCTAAACAAAGTGTTATGTAACTCGCTTTTAGACATTTTCTTTTTTCTTTTTTTTTTCTTTTCGTTTATTTTTATTGGTTTTCGTTTTTCTTTCATTCCAAAGATTCTTCTGTCCCGCTCATCTTTTTTTTTTAAAATAGGTTATGTGCGCATATCTTTCGTTTTTTTTTTTTTGTTTCTTTTCCTCCTTATTATGTTTCTGCTTACTTTTTGTCTCTCTCTCTTTCTTTCTGTCTTTCTTCCTTTCTTTCCACTTTTTATGTCTTTGCTTATTTTTCATTCATTCTCTCTTTTTTCTTCCTTTCTTTTCCACTTTTCCCATGTATTTGCTTACATCTTCTTTTTTCGTTCTCTACTTTTTATATCTTTGCTTATTTTCCCTTTTCTTTCTTTCTTTCTTTCTTTCTTTCTTTCTTTCTTTCTTTCTTTCTTGTCTTACAATTGAAGGTATTTTGCTCCCTTCGTTTTTTCTTTCTTTTTGTTTTCTTTCTTCCTTTCTTTCTATGCCTTTGTGTAATTAACCGTCTCGTTCATTCTTCCTTTCTTTTTCTCCCTCTTTCTTTCTTTGCCTTTGTGTAATTAAATGTTTTTGCTTTCTCTCTATTTTTTTCTTTGCTTTTGCGTCATTGACCGTCTTTTTCGTTTTCTTTCTTTCTTTCTTTCTTTCTTTCTTATTCCATTACCTTCTCCTTTATTTCTTATTTATTTCCTCTTTTTCCTGTTCGCCCCCGCTTCCGTTCCTCTTTCTTTCTTTCTTTCTTTCTTTCTTTCTTTCTTTCTTTCTTTCTTTCTTATTCCATTACCTTCTCCTTTATTTCTTATTTATTTCCTCTTTTTCCTGTTCACCCCCTTCCGTTCCTCTTTCTTTCTTTCTTTCTTTCTTTCTTTCTTTCTTTCTTTCTTTCTTTCTTTCTTTCTTTCTTATTCCATTACCTTCTCCTTTATTTCTTATTTATTTCCTCTTTTTCCTGTTCGCCCCCGCTTCCGTTCCTCTTTCTTTCTTTTCTTTCTTTCTTTCTTTTCTTTCTTTCTTTCTTTTTTCTTATTCCATTACCTTCTCCTTTATTTCTTATTTATTTCCTCTTTTCCTGTTGTTCGCCCCCTTCCTTTTTTTTTTACCTTCTTTCTTATTTATTTTCTTTTCCTGTTTTTTCTTTCTTTCTTTTTTCTTTTTCTTTCTTTCTTTCTTATTCCATTACCTTCTCCTTTATTTCTTATTTATTTCCTCTTTTCCTGTTCGCCCCCCTTTTTTTTTCTTTTTCTTTTTTCTTTCTTTTTTTTTCTTTCTTTTCATTTTCTCCTTTATTTTTATTTATTTTCTTTTTCGTCACATTTCCCCTAATGACTTTCTTTCTTTCTTTCTTTCTTTCTTTCTTTCTTTCTTTTTATTTTTTTCCCTTTTTTTCTTTTTTGTTTTCCACTTTTTCTGTGTTTGTTTACTTCTCCCTTTCGCTCTTTCTTTCTTCTTCGTTATCTTTTCTTTTTTTTTTTTTCACACTAGAAGTTATCTTCGGAACAACCACATCTACCCTTTTTTTCACACCTATATGGTCTACTTATAGACTACTGTGTCTTAATATATACCAAATAAGTTTATCTTGAATTAAGTAAAAAATAAAAAATAAAAAATAAAAAAAACAACGGAAAGCGTAATGCCAAAACCGATGCTATTGAAAGAAGTTAATATTTTTTAAAAAGTTAATATGCTTAGACTAGAATTATGTACGGAACAGCCACATATAATCTTTATTTCACAGCTGTATGGTGTATTTCTTTCCATAAAACAAATACTCGACATTCATTGACCGAGAAATTAACATTACCTTCGTTTGAAATTACACTTGAAATTCATAAGATCTTTTTTCTTAAACAATTACATTTTTTCAAGTCCACTAACCGTTATCGCTCTTTCTAGTGCTGATGGGAGTTTCCTTCCTAACCTTTTCTTTAGGGTTGTGTGGAAGTTCAACATCATAATTTATTATTTCCTCTTCTATTCATTGTTTGTTGATATTGTTGTTGGAAGTGTTGAAAAGAGGTGTTGTTTTTTTTTATTTGGTAAACCTGTTGGTGCCAGCCTACGAAGGATAGTCCTCTTGAAGACCTACCTCTTAATTTAATATGATCAATATTAAATATGAGGAAGACCTGAGGTCCCTTAGACATGGAAAGTGGAATGAGAACAATCAATCCCTGTAGACTAAATAAAGGTTTCACTTCGAAATTCCCTGGATTTTATACGAATCGACAAGTACCTGATGAAAGCCAGCGATAGTAACAACAAAGAAGGGGATAATAGTCCAATTGTAAATAATGTAAAACAGAAAAAGTGAAATAAAGTTTAAAGATTTAGATTATAGATAATTTAACTGCTTAGTCTTTTATGATTTAGTCATACAAAAAAGAAACAAAAAAAGAAACATTTCTATTATGTTCTTTAAAATTAGAGTACACTCAATTCTCTTTTTGCACGTATTCATTTTGCACGGTTTTGTAATAACACGGTCCAAAAAAGAACCGATTATTTTTTGGCACTATTTTTGAACTTTAACACGGTTTAAACATCTGTCCTTGTGTGACCACAGAATTTATTGCAAGTGGCAATAAAATGATTAAATAAAAATCAATCAATTATAATTTACAAAATGCCGAAACTCTACGTAACGTGATTAAGTAATAATTTAGCGAAGTAAAATAGAATGCAATCTATTTTTTCCGTATAGTGTTCTCCGACTTTTCGAAGAAGGGACATATGCACTGTACATACATAGTGTTTCAGAGAATGTGTATGATTCCACGTTAGTTTATAGTAGTGATGATGAAGAAGTGGTTGCGCTATCTGAAAGTACAATTCTAGAAGACCTCCAAATAGCCAATAAACTTAGAAACCTGTGCAATTCCAAAATGATTTGAAAATGATTATGGCACCTTATGAAGAATCATATAAAGAATTAACAAAAACAAAATCACAGCGTCTGATAACCGAAATTGTATTCGAAAGCAGTGAAACAAAAGAATCACGAGATGTTAATTTTATTCAACATACACGTGAAGATATATCGTCATTAAATATTTCCAGTGACGAGAATGATTTTGCGCCACCGAAAATCAACAGAAAGAGGGCACGGTTACTGTCTAGTAGTGACACTGAATGATTATGATATATATATATATATACAAATAAAAAATCAATTTATTTGTAAAGGGCGTTCCAATAACTTTGACTGATTTTAATGTGAATTAAGTTTAAGCATCTAATGATATTTTTGTTTTACTTTCATATTTGGCGGACATTTGGGTGATATTATTTTTCACACTTAATTGCCATGACTTAAATAACAAGATACAATAGAAAAATAAATAAATTTTCACCAATAACACTGATTAATTTACTGCTGACTTTGATCCATCTTAATGAAACATCCTTATATATAATCCGTCTTAATGAAACATCCTTTATATCAAAATTGACATTTTTATTTTGCACGCTAGCCACTGGAACGTATAATTTAATTAATTTGTATATGAAAATTAACATTTTTATTAAAAATATTTGGATGGAACCTATCTCTAATTTTCATATGTACACTGTATATTTTATACCCGGTTTTATATTGCACGGTAGTCTCTGGAACGTATCACTTTTGCAAAAAAGAGTTGAGGGTATTTAACAGTGACCGAAATAAGACAGAAATTACCTCTTCTTCCAGAATAAAATACAACAATCTACAATCCGTATCTTCGATGCCCGCAAACCGTAGATATCAAAACCCGAAACTGACTGACCAAAGATATGCAGACGACATCGTTTCTTTTTTTCCCGCCCCTTTTTCTCTCGGCGTCTATTTTAATTTTTTTTTTCTTACACATTCAAAGTAGATAATTATCACTGGTCAGCCTGAACTCCAACATTTTTATTCTTGCTGTTTTGTCAGTTAAAGCCTGTTACTGTCAAAAATGTGAGATGCCCCTGCCTTTTTACGAACGCGACAACAACCAGAAAAAGTGACATCTGAGAGAGGATTTTTTTTTTTAACGTCAATAAAATAACTTTATCTAACGCGCAAAGATCCTGGACTGGTGGCCATTATTTCCAAGCAATATCCTAGTCATTCAAGAAAAGGAAATACTAGCAAAGAAACAAGCAGCCGTTCGACCTTCATAATTATCATTAGCTAGAAATACGCGTTAAAATTTCACGGTTTTCCTATTTTAATATTCTGTTGAATCTTAATTCTTAAGTTAATGATTGAATAAGCTCATGGCGATATTCCCGACAATAAAATATCCGTAGAAATTCCCCTATCGCATCGTTAAATATTTGAGATTAACAGCTTTAACAAAATATTGCAATAACAATCATTCTATTATAATTATGCTTGTCCCTCCCTTCTCGGCCTTTAGGCTAAGATCAAAGTGTAGTATCTGTTCTTATTTAATCTCTCTCTCTCTCTCTTACTCTCCACACACTTTTATCTTATTTCTTATTTATATGCGAAAATGATTGAATGAGCTTATGACGAGTTATACGACAATAAAATATCCGTATAAATTCCCTTATCACATCGTTAAATATTTGAATTGAACAACTTCCGCAAAATTATTGCAATGACAATCATAAATATGAATGCTGATCGTTAATTTAAGAAGTGGTTACGAATGGAAAGATTTGAATTTGACAACTTTTCTAATTTCACTGAAGCAGACGTTAAAGAAATCTAGTTTTCAACTGCTCGTACCTCTCGCTTGTGGAATTCTCTTCCGACTTCTTGCTTTCCAGTCAAGTTGATCTTCAGAAACGTAAATGCAACGTCAATCGATATCGTCTGTCTTCTTAATTTCTATTCTTTTGTTGTTCTCGCTCTTTAAGGATGTTTTTTCGATTTCTCATATTTTCGGATACACAGTAATCCCTTGCATCTTCGATTGCATCTTTAATTGCTTTGCTTGAGGTGAAATGATTTATATATATATATATATATATATATATATATATATATTTGGAGAGACATAGATTGTTTTGTTTCTTCTATGTAGCTTAATCGACTTGGCATCACCACGAGTTGAGCGTCGTCAAGCATTGCAATTTCTACATGGAAATCAAATCTGGCTTGAAGATAATATTATTTTTTTTTTTTTTGTACTTTGGCTGGAGCCAGTAACATTCGTGTCAGAACGAAGCTAATGCCTGAAGAACTGATAGACAAGCCAAAAGAAATTCATGCAGATGTAAGAAGACGAAAAGAGGGCGAATTTTGTAAGCAGAATTAATACGACCTCTTCCATATATAAAGCCTTGCAGATATTTTCTTTCCATTCTCAGTGGTGGTCCTTATAAAATTGATGGTAATAGGTAAGAGGCTTTCGACTTGAAACGTTGCAAAAGATTACTGCGGTTGGTGCGGGGGGGGGAGAGAAAAGAAGAAACATAAAGACGGAAAAAGAAGTAGAAAGAGTGATGGTGGTGGTGGTGATGATGATGATGTATATATATATATATATATATATATATATATATATGCATGTTTCATTAAAAACGACAGACAAGGTACTACAGTTGCTTTTAATTTAATTTTTCTTGTGTTCTAACAAGAGCTTTCTTTTCTGGACAAAGGGTGTAAGAACTGTCCAAATGTTTTATAGTTCCGACCGCTTTCGGCTATACCTTTAGCCATTATCAAGGATGATTCGATTTTTCAGCTTAATTGAGTGTGTTTCTCCCCAAAGCAAGTAATAACGATACTACAATATTTTGCTTATATAAAACCAACACTTTGATGATGCTTATTGTGCTTATGTCGAAAGTACGCTGAATAAATGAATATATATCAACACGCTAATTTTACCTCTTCCTTTAATAACCACACCAAAAAGCTTGTCCGTGAACTTGTTCATTAAATAATTTCGACAAATTTTTGCCAACTTATTTTCAGTTGGATGAAAGGAAAATTTACCAGTAAAAAATTCGTTCATCACCATATTTGTACATGAACGCACAATTTTAAAAAATTTAAAATCAAACTCAGCGTTGCTACTGCGCGCTCCAAAAACAATAACTCATTTCCAATAGCATTTTCGGATACAACAATACATATATTTTCGTTGTCCTCTTATTACTAAGAGAAAAAACAAGAACAACATCTATTCTATACCTGAAGATGTCTGTAGGAACAGACGAAAGCTTGTAGTAAAATAAGAACTAATACGGCAGAAATTTATATAAACAAGGATCATTTCATTCATAACGGATTCGGAGGTTTTTGTATATTATTTGAATTGTTTGCGACGATGGATTTCTCGCCAATTAAATCATTAACCTTTGCATTTGTTTTTTGTGAATAA